CTATTTTTTTACCAACTTGTTAATAAGATTAAAATGATATTTTTAAAAAATGACAATTAAGGTAGTCTTTTTTGAATTTCGTAAAAATAATATATTAAATATAATTTATTTTTAAAATAATATTTTAATTAATTTTTACCAGTGTCTATAAGCACAAATTGAGGAAACCTTTTTAATGTGGATTTCAATATTGTTAAATTGAAAAGGCTAAAAATAAAATAAAAATTAAAGCAAAAGAAGAGAGAACAATTGATATATTGGGCCATCAGATTGCCCACAAGATTGTGATAAAAAAGGGGACTGAAATGATGTATTGAAGTTAAGAAAACCCTATGGTTCAATAAATAAATGAAAAAAATTATATATGCTTTTTATGTTGGCAAATAATAATAAAATAAATGCTTTCCTATGCAGAGACCATTATCAAAAAAGATCTTTTCCATTTGCTATATCTTTTATTTGAGATTAGCCACTGACAAAGCAAAGATAAACTCAATGTCTATATCATTACTTTATGGTAATTAAATATTTCAAAATAATAATAATAATAATAATAATAATAATAATAATAATAATAATATAATTAGCAGTAAGTTACTCAATCATCAATTGGATTAATTATGTTTGACAAAGATATGACACAAAAATTCACTTTAAAATAACCATAGGAAACATGTTAATATCAAATTACTTCTAACTAATTTTATCTTCCTTGTATATGTATTTGTTTGTACAACTTATTAAATACCAAAAGTTAGTATGTCACCTTATTCTAAGTTAAACTTTTGAAATAATCAATTGTTCAACGTAACACATTGTTAATTTTATTTCGAGTCAAAAGTTTTCAAATGCTTTGTTGACCTTTTGAGCTCAACAAAAATTTAAAAAAAAAAAACGTATATGTTAAGTTATATGAAACTTAATTATTATCTTAACGTGATTGTTTTTATGCAAAATTAATATGTAGATCGAGGTGATATAATCTTGTTTCATTATCTTCCTTTTAATATAATGAAAATCTACAATAACTATAAGTGAATATAATTCTCTCATTAAAAATAAATCATTATAAATTTCATGTGCTCTTTATATTTTACTAATTATATTGTTAGAAGTATTTTTTGGTTCGAAGTGTAAATTGATTTTTTTTTTTTTTCATTAGAGATTGTCAGTAGATAATTAAAGATATTTTCGACCTTTGAAGCTACTTGACATGTTCAATGTCACATCAACTCGATTATATCATTATATTGTCTCACAAACCCCTCATCTTTTATTTATAAACAAAGTCATTCAAATACTATCTATTTAATTTATTTTTTCTTATATTCTTATTTTTCTGTTTTTATGATCTATCTAATCCTAACTTTTTATTCGAGTGTCGAAATACGAATATAAAATATATATTTATTTTTATCTTAACCCTTTTTTTGTCCTTCTTGTGATTTGAAAACTTTTACTCTAAACTCGGAGCTTGACAGCATCATATACATATTGCTTGATATCATGCCCTAATTGTATCACGCAATTGAAGGGTCTTTGTCAGTCTTTAAACAGATCATTATTGTATATATTCCAACACATATAATCACTTTGTATGTGTATTTATCATGAACATGATAATTGCAGCCAGCTTCGAAGATGTAGCCATGCAGACAAGTCCCATCACCTTCACCCAATATGCATACATGTTTTAATCGGTCACGTACGTTAGAAAGCCAGAGGGGAAACAGAAAAGGTTTGATAGATAAGTAATTAAGAGCCATTGGAACTTTTTCATTGAAACGGGAGAGCACAAGGAAAGTGACGGAGCTAAGCTTGGACTTTCAACTATATATGTTTTTTCTCATAGTACAGTCTTAGTTGCTTATCGATCTAACACCTGAGATTCTGTCTCTAAAGTACAATCCTATTTTCACTTTCATGCAATATTGGAGAATCAGCTTTCAAAGATACTATGATATGATGCATATATGGTTTTAAACTTTCCATTAATGAACTAAAAATTTTATTTTGTTAAGTGATTAGGGTTTTTGACTTTTACTTTGTCCATTTTTTTAATTCATTTAGATAAGAGTGATAATGATTCAAATCAAATTGAATTTGATTTAGTTTTTTGGGATAATATATAATATTATAAATTTTTAAAATTTGAATTGATTTTCTCTTAAATTTAATTTTATCTAAACAAAATTTTATTAGTTCGATTCAATTCATTGATTTTAAAAATTTAATTTTTTGTTTTTATATATAATTTTAATATAATTTTTAATATTTTTAAATAGATTTATATATAAAATAATTATTTTTATTTTATAAAAATTTAATATATATAAACTAATAAAATTATATAATTTGATTTGTTTTAATTTTTTTTATTTTTTACATCTTTATTTGAAATTTGATTCAAATTTAATATATACATTTAATATTTAAACTTAATTCTAACCGAATAAGAAAAAAATCGATTCGAACTAAACTAAACACTACAATTTTGAATCGATTTTTGGATTTCTTAATTTTTTTTCTTATTCTTACATTCAGGGATATTTATGTACGTCGAACAATAATACAATTTATGAAAAATTATTTTTTTTATAATCTTTCAATGAATTTGAATTCAGATAATAAAAAGAAGAGTACATTTTTATTACCACTTAATTTTTATTAAAATGAGCTAATATTGTTAGTACAAAGAAAAATCACATGTTTAATTAATCAAATTTTGATTTTTGTGAGAAACATTACTAAAATGAAAATTTTTTTGTCCAACGTTCTAGTTGGAATTTGATAGATTATTAATTGGATTTCTGTACTATATATGCATATATAATATTTATTTATTACTTTTAACTTTTTTTTGTAATTTTAAAAGAAAAAGTATAAAAATATAATTTAGATATAAAAATAAAACAACATTTTAAAGAATTAATAATTACAACTATGAGTTTAATTTTAAAAAAATAATTAAATAGATCTAATAATTTAAAATATGATATAATAACATAATATAAATATAACATAAAAATAAAATACGAAAATAATATGATTTAAAATTTTAATAATTATTATATATAAATTTAATATAATCAAAAAATATATTTTATATTTTTATATCGATACAAATTATAATACATAATTTTTATATAAAATATAATATTAATATATAAATTTTAATATTTTATATATCATAAACAATCTAATTTACAACTAAACAACCTATAAATTTTGCTAGGACATGTACAGGAAATGACTATTGATCAGAACCTTGGGAGACAGATTTTCTTGCAGGCCAATTTAAGTATAGATTAATAATAAATCATAATAATTTTTGTTATGTCCCTCTCATTTCTTCTTTTTCGTAATTTTTTTAATAAAAAAGTTATCTATGAAAAATATTTTCATGGCTGATTATGACACATCGCCATCACATCATCATTCAACGTAGTCATGAAAGGACCAATTTACCCCTACTTTTCTGCAAAATATTGGAAATACCCTTGGGAGATCTGCACCTTGGGAAGTACCCGTAGGTGCACGTGAACGTGAGAATTTTTGCATTATTGTCGGGTCCTTTTCGAGAAGGATTCGATCAGTGAACCCGTGACGGGTGAGGCTATTTTCGTCACTTCACCAGCTCACGGCGGCTGCAAGTTTAGTGGCTGATGGCTGTTTGGTAGTTTCGGGTCAAAAGCAGGGGCGTTTCGGGAATAAAGTTGCTTTTGTAGAATTCTCACCGGAAAACGACAAAGTCCTCAACTTGAAGCTCTTGTCCGCCAGCAATGTTTGAAACAAACGCGTTTGGGAGGGCTCTTTAACAAATGAAATGTCTATAATACCCCCAATCAGGGACGGATCCAGTTACTGAAATCCTGAAAATTAAATTTAACTATTAGTAAGTTTTTCAAATTTTTAATGATTTTTGTATTTTACCCCACTAAAATATTAAAAAAATAAGTAAAATTATTAAAAATAAGTCCAAATTTTCTTTTTTTCGGTTTTAGAGCTCATTAATTGTAAAGAAATACTTAAATATGAGTCTTTATAACATTGAAAGGTATATGAATGTATTAACAAATTTTAATAAAAATTAAATAAAATAATGATTCATAATGTAAATATAAAATTATTATACTAATATTATTGGTAATTAATATAATATATTTGCCTTCATTGAATATAAATCCTACATCCGACCCTCACCCTAATGTCCATATAATATTACTAATCTGTTCAATAAAAATAAAAAAAATAAAATCCTTATAATGAAGCCATTCTTTGGCGAATATAAAGTTAAATGTTTAGAGTTCACCCTTCATACACATTTATATTTTGTCTTTTTTTTTAATTTGATTTTTTCAGGGATGAAATTGAATTAAAAAAGAATGAATTTTGATATATTCATATTTTATTTATTTTATTAATAAATTTTAAAATATTATTCATAATCATTCGTTGAGCTTAATAAAAAAATATAAACAAATAAAAATAAAGTCTATTTACCAATTGTTTATTTTAATCCAATTACATCTTATTCTTCAATTCTATTCATGAACTAATTGTTAAAAGTTTAATTCTTTTACACTCAATTTTTAATTATCTTTTAATAAATTAAATTAGTTAAAATTATTGTGCAACATTAATTCAAATCAATCCAAGTTGAGTTTAATGAAGTTAAAATCTTTTTAAAAATCAAATTTTCAAAGAAAAAATTTTACCCATTTACAAACACAAGTTAAGCTTAATTAAAGTGGGTTTTTTTTTTTTATATAGTTTTCAGTATTACTTGAATTTAAGATTAAATTCCTTTATAAAGAGTACTAATATATGAGTTTATTTAACATGAATATACCAAAAGTGAATTTTGGATAAGGGCAATTTATTAATACCAAAGAAACCTAGGGGCAATTCAACATAGCATTAGCCAACAGTCTTGGACTTGAATAATCTACACTACCTGGCTAGTAGTAATATTTATTTATTTATTTCTAAGACACAGCCAAAGAAGACCTGGTTGGTTCATATATGTGCTTTACTTGTGCTAGCAAAAGACTTCACCACCAGAAATGAAGGAGAATTTTCTGGTTTTTGTCTTGCTCTAGCTACAACAAAATCCCAAGTTTGGTGTTTGTGTTTTGTTGTTTTGTTTATAAAATAAACAAGTAAATCTTCTGCTTTTGTGTGGTGAGCACCAAGAACAAGGGATAAGAGAGAAAGAAACAAGGGAGTCATTTGGAAGGAAGAGAAAGAAAGACAAAAAGTTGTTTTTATTTTGAATAAAAGATCTCTCTTTTTTTTTATCTTTTTTTTCCCTTCTTCAATGTCAAATATCACAGCAGGTGATGGAGGGAGCCTCTCATCAGGCAATACTGCTGGAGAAGTTCAACAAGAGCAAGTAAATCACTTTCATGGCTCAAACTCTTTGCTTTCAACTAACAGCAATGGCTCCAACACTCCACAGGATCACCAGCCTCCACCAGCTAAGAAGAAAAGAAACCTTCCAGGAACTCCTGGTATAATAAAAAAGCTTTTTGAAGTTTCAATTCATCACCTCTTCTTATTGTTTTTTCTGAAAATCATCCATTTGAATAACTATACTTGTTTCAGTCAACTGATCAGTTATCAGAATCTAAGCAAAATGAATTTTACTATATAGACAATTCAACTTAGTTATCTTGGGTTTACATGCTGGATATAGAAAGTTTTTGACATCTCATGTTTATGCCTGCAGCATATTTTTGGATCAAAACAGTAAGGAAAACATTTTGTATGCAGATTTAATTCCAAAGAGCTGTTATGAAGAAGATTTTCTGAATTGTTTGAGTATTTTTTTATGAAGAACAGTTTGCAGCCCAATCTGGGTCATAAAAATGGTGAATTATTGAAGTTTTTAAGCTGCTGAAGGGGTTTCAATTATTGGTTGGGTATCACAATCATTGCATAGCAAACTGTTGGCTTGCCTTCACTCCTTTTTCCTTTATTTTGTTTTTAACTGTTTCAAGTAAAGGAACCTGCCAATGGAATATCTGTACTTTCCTCTCTCTCCCTTTTTCACATTTCATTTTGATCTACTGATTATAAATTACTTGAGTGTCTAACTGCATGTTTATATCTTTTTCATTTAAGATTGTAGTCAAGTAAGTAAAAGAACTCAAAATTACCATATAATAGCCATCTAACAACATGAAAAATGAACAATTTGTTGTTTTGTTCCAAAATTTCTTTCAAATTTCTGAAGTTTTGATGTTAAGATTTTCATAAGAATTGGTGCAGCACTAAAGCTTGGAATAACAGAAAATTGCTATAGAAAAAGTGAATGATATATATGTATCTTTGCATGGGCTTTATGTGCAGATCCCAATGCAGAAGTCATTGCTCTATCACCAAGGACCCTTTTGGCCACAAACCGTTTTGTGTGTGAAATTTGCAGCAAAGGGTTCCAGAGGGACCAAAACCTTCAACTCCACCGTCGAGGCCATAATCTGCCATGGAAACTCAGGCAAAGAACAAGCACTGAAATCCGGAAAAGGGTCTATGTCTGCCCTGAACCTTCATGCGTGCACCATAACCCGAGTCGTGCTCTAGGCGATCTTACAGGGATCAAGAAGCATTTTTGTCGAAAACATGGAGAGAAAAAGTGGAAATGTGATAAGTGCTCCAAGAAATATGCTGTGAAATCTGATTGGAAAGCTCATTCAAAGACCTGTGGCACTAAGGAATACAAATGTGACTGTGGCACCATTTTCTCCAGGTTTTATATTCATCAAAAGTTTCTTTATCTACATTGGAATATGAGTTCATCTATCTAGAATATACTACAGATAGTCATATAAGAGTAGTTGATAGTGCATGAACTAAGACTTGAATGGTGTATTTCTCTTTCATACAAAAAGATGATTGGATCATTTCTCAGAATATATTATTTTGGGTCGATGATCAGAAGTTTAATTAATTTCCTTAATACCCAATTGCCGGCTTTTCTTGTTTGACCACAGATTCTTATAAGTTGAATTGTTATTTTATTATAAGTTCTTAGTCTCTTCTTTTATTATATAGATGTTAAAAGCATTTTAAAATATGATATTCTTTTCATTTTAATAATCGTCATCACAGCAATAATGTTGGTCAATGTTCAATGTCTTAACAATTGAATAATTGACCCTTTTGCTCAATAATTGTTCTTTCTCTTAAGATTAAATGATTAACTAATCAGATTGTTTTTCATTTTTTTGCAGAAGAGACAGTTTCATTACCCACAGAGCTTTCTGTGATGCCCTAACTGAAGAAAACAAAAAAGCAAGCCAAGGCCTTGTAGCCAACTTGGGTTCAAACTTACAAGGCCAAGTCCCTGATCAGCTCATTCCTGCAATTCCCATCAACGACAATCTCAACACATCTTCCATGAATGTTTCTGATCCATTCAGCCATGACACCAAAAGCCCTTTACAGCCCTTAAGCATGGCAGGAAGCATGTTTTCCATTAGTCCTGGAAACCTGTTTGCTGGAGCAAAAACTCATGTTTCAAATTATTCCTCCTCTTGCCTGCAACTGAATGCGAATTCGTCGACATTGTTCGAAGGAAATGGACACCTGTTTTCTGGATCAGCCTCCATGTCTGCCACTGCATTATTACAGAAAGCAGCTCAAATGGGTGCAGCTGCTAGTACTGGTAGCCTGAACTCTCCCTTGATGGGGAAAAGTTTCACTACAACTATGGCACCAACACCATCTTTTGTTTCAATGCAAACTCAGAATAATCAATCAGAAATACTAGGAGGTGATGCGGGATTCACCAACCAGTTCATGCAGAAAAGCCAACAAGAAATACAGTCAGAGCTTTTCAATGCAAATACGGGGGTTGATCAAAGTTCAGCTGTGAACAATATGCGGATGTTTTCAGGGGATTTTGATAAAAACAATGCATTGTTGAAAAGTTTAGAGAACGACCAGCCTGGTGCAAGTTCAAATTCAGGGTTGAGTACCCCAAGAACTACTGGTTTATCAGCCTTCAGTGGGGATACGATGACCGTTGATTTCTTGGGGATTGGAGGATCAAGGTCCAGGAGTCTGCTTGAAAAACAGCACCATCATCGCCAACAGCAAGATTTAGATCAGTTTCGAGGAATTGAGCAGGCAAGACTGCAAGGCTTGAGCCATTATCAGCAATATGCAGCCTTGGAGAAACCAATGTGGAAAGTTTAAAATTAAAGTAGCTAGCTAGCTTCAAATAGAACTCCGTTGCTATATTACTTCCTGCGTAACTTTTCCTTTTCCTTTTCCCTCTCTTCATTTTGAAGTATATTTATATTCTTGTAGCCATGGATTAATATTTAAGAAAATCAAAATGGTCTTGTTAAAGAGCAAGGCATTGAGCATTTTGGCTAAATTCAAGAAACTTAGGCCTCTGAACAATTAGTAGAGCAATGCATACGAACTTCCGCCATTCGCATGCATGATTTGCATTAATTATTTCCCAAAGAGATTGGTCGAAAAGAAAACTTTTTCAGGTTTTGCCTTTGTAATCATTGCTACAATTTTTCTTCACATCACATGCACGAGCAAGTGCAACATATCACATCCCTGGATGAATGAACCATTCATGCTTCATGGGATCATCTCGCACAAATTTGGCCCGTATAATGGCCATCAAACCCAAATCTGAAAATCTAGAAGTACCCATGAGGCCTAAAAGTTATCAGATCAAAAGTGGCCCAGAAGAAAAAACAGTGGCTCTTTGGAGATCTGAGCACCTAACGAAGCCGAAAAAAACTTTGTATTGCTTATTGTTTTGTTCATGGAAATGAAACATTTGGAGAGCGAAGAGAGGTGGGAGAAACTGTGGTTCGGACGATTACAGGGCAATGCCCAGATGTGAAAGGGACTCTGGTTGAATCAACTGTTAGAGAGGATTCACTCCTACTAGGAATCCAAAGTACCATGAGCTGGAATTCAGAGTTGAAATTCCCTCATTCCAGCGGCATAATGATGCCGATTGTTGTGCTCGTGGGGGTAGGCTATTCATTCTAAATGTACAAGCAGCCAGAGTTCAAGTTGGCCTTTTATAGAATTGCCTGATTCATTTAATCCTACCATTTGATATGGGGTTTCACTTTAGCTTCTTCTGGACCTCTGGACAGCGAAGGGTTAGAAGATTATATATAATGTACCTTTATACATCGAAATTCCATCAGACACCCACAATGGCGCTGGAGAAACTATATTTCTATCTAAAATACAATTACCATACAGAAATTCAGCACAAGTTTTTTGTCTTTGCTTGGAGCCCTCCACATTCTTGGAAACCGCTGCGGTTAAATTAGGATCCTCAAATCCAAGCTCAGCAACACCTAGCCTGCAATGGGGTAGGACTAGAGTGAGAGGACTCAGCAGAAGAGAGAGCAGCAGAAGCGAAAATGGAAAAGGAAATGGGTTGGAGAAGCATTTTCAGGGTAAGCTCAACAATGCCCTTGTCTTTCCCCTTGACCCCCATACTTTGGCAAGACCAAATCACTAACTCAATACGCACTTATATCTAAAAGGACAATGTTCAAATGGTCATTCTTGCTTCTCAGTCTACCATAAGATTAAAGTGAAATGCTAACGGAAAGACCAAGACAAAATTGAGGTTAAATTTACTTACTTTGGATCGAGCACCAATTTCTGGGCCTCTTTAATAGCTGAACTAGCTGCATATAATCATATATTTCCCACCTGCTCGAACACGATTGTATAGTTAGTAAACTCATATAATTTAAACAGACTCTAGGAACTCAACAAGCACAAGGAAAAAAAGAAACACTGAATATTTTTTGGGAGAATTTTATTAGCCTGACCTTCAAAATTTGAAGTTTTCTGTCATGGTCAGTTGGAAGACAGCAGATATCTTCAGCCAATTACAGCCTCCCCCACACTTTCCAGAAATAAGAAGTCTAGTCCTAACTGAACAGTAGACTGAAAATTCAACAACAAGCATATCAGTCAATTTAAATATAGCTATATAAGCAAAATAAGAAACTTCTATCATAAACCTAAATACACAAAAGTTGAGTTTATCAAGTTTCACCAGTCCTGCGTAAATTCAAAAAGGTACAGACACATTCACCACATAAAATCTGACTGCATGTTTTTCCGTTTACATTTCATAATGATGCACCTCCCATGGAAAAACTTGATTTGTACCATAATTTCAAATTAATTACTGCAAAAATTTTGTCCCGAGTTTATGAATCATCTGATCGTTCTTTTATACAACACAAGGCAAGAATTGTGTCTCCCTCAAGAGGATTTTAAACTCAAAGTTCCATACCAACAAATATCATTTTATCCAACAAGGTAAAAGATTATTATATTGGATATACTCAACGACATCAAACATCACCTTCCTTGCAAGATTTACAATAAAATCACAAAACTTGTCCAAGCATTGAAGGTTATTGATCAGAGAGAGACCCACCTGGGATTCCTCACTTGAAAATGCCATCCAGTAGGGATAAAGACAGCTTGCCCCAAATGCTGTTCAAATGACCATGGCACCACTCCTGTAAAAGAAAAGGAATAACAGTTGACACTTAATCATCTACTATATTAATGATTCAATACTACCAATACAAAGAGAATATTGAAATTTTCACTGGATCAAAAATTACAATAAGATTTTCCAAGAAAACTTGTTTTGACCCAGACTACAATTTCATCTACTAGAAAATGGGATTCTAAACTTTTTACAGTAGAAGGTTGTTATCTTATCCAGCTTCTAGTCAGCAACCATGAGGGTTTCCTTCTTTTTTCTGGATGACTTGGTTGGCTTGCAGAAATTTTCATAATCACAACCATATTTTCAGTCAATTAGGAATAGCGAAATCAGAACAGTTCCTGGACAAAGTGGATATTAGTCTGTAAATCTGCAAGATTTCATCCATGTGCTGCAAAAGGACAGTGGAACAAACTCCAAGACACACAATCTGGATTGATGTCAATTATCCTTAACAAATTCTTGCCTCAGTTTTCTCTTATGATGCTCATTCAGGTACACCACTTCATCATACAGAGGACATGTCACCTGAAAATAAAAGTATAATCATCAACATGTACTTTTACACAATGTATTAAAAAGCAGCTTCTAGAACAAAGAGCATAAACTTACAGAATCACTTATTGCACTTTCAGGCTTCCCAAAATCCTTCCAGTGCATTCGCAAATTCTATTAACTTTGGAACATCCCGTTGGCAGAAGACATCCCAACAAGCTGCCGCATGAGGCTTTCCCGGTATAATCCCATTTAACTGTTCAAAATTCACATATTTCTCCGTAATTATGGTAGTTTCAGCTTCTTGATCCTCCATTTTCTCATCCTCATGTCCAGCGGATGTGCTATCATATTCATCATTCATATCAGGTCCATAAATTGATAAATCAGGTAACCTTTTCTCATCTGACCTTGCTTCAGGATTCCCCAAGGTCTCATACCACATTGGATTTTTGTATGTCCTCCATTTCTGTCCTCAGACCTTTTGCCTTCACTTCACATGTATGCACCAACAAGTAGACCTAACAAACTCCTCAACTCTCAATTCATACACTTTACCACAGAAGATACAGATTTAATTTTAATAATTAAGAAAAAGCCGTGGAGGTTATCCAGACTTTCTTCATGAGTCAACAGATAATTGGATTCATTGTCTCTTTCAGCTTAAAATTTCTGTACTGGTATTACAAACAACAAGTCTTAATCTTGCATGTATAACAAAGTAATAGACTAGAAATTGCAAAACATGACGCAAAGAATGCAAACTTAAATCCTATTCAAGCATTAAATTCCAGTATAGGACACGGAGATTTAATCCTTTGATATACTTTTTAAGAGATAAGAATAATATACACATTGAAGGCTACAGTTGCAAAGTGTCCTTAGATTAAGAAAGTAATAAGCAATATTGACCACAATAATTAAAGATAAAGGAATTTTTTTTAATTTATGCACGAAAATTTTAGTCAAGGACGGGGAGAAAGCAATTACCATGTCTCGCATTTTGATATGGAGATTATTTACTGAATCCCCTCTACAAAGTTCTTCATAGGTCCCATAAGATATATAAATCTTAGGTCCTACATCATTTTGCAAGGAATAATGGGGCAATTTTGCAGCAACATTTAGAAGCCCCAAACTGGAATGAATGTATTTAAGTAAAGGAAGTTTACTGATAAACTCAGGTCTCTGGTGCATTAAAAACACTTCAGAAGCACCGGGAGAAGGCCAATCTTTCAACTTCAACATTTCCGGCCAACCGTTTTCATGTGCCGTCCCTCTGAGTATCCTTTGATGAATTGACCAAGTTCAATATCAACCTGACATCATATCAAACCAGACACGCAGATATAAGAGCATGTAATAAATAATATCAATTAAATTACTGTGAAATCAAGATCACACACATATAAGCAGTAGCACTGACTGCTAAGAGCTCACCTCAGACCAGTCTAAGCAATCTATGGCCTTCATCTATTATTTTCTCATCCGCTATCTCCTGAATTCCCCTCCATATAGCCACTGGATCCCAACTTGAAATGGATGAGCTGTCACATACCTCTTTAACAATCACAGGTTCACCCTTGCCCCAATGCTTTCTAAAATCTGCAATCCCTTCTGCTTTAATATCTTGAGATGATGGGCAGTATAAAAGATTATCATCGCTACCCTCTCTGTCAGCAAATTGACAAAGTCTGGGATTATTCAATTCAGTCTTTTCCAGACTTTCAACATCATAAACCTTACAGCTACCACTGTAATGCCTTAATCTCATGTTGAAAGAATGTGTGGATAAAGAATAATATATATATAAAAATCTAAATCCAAACTTGTAAGGCATCTTTTATAAAATAAAACCGTGAAACCTTCGGATCAAAGCAGACAATACCTTGCAGGTTAAGTGCGGGTCTCCACATCCACCATTTCCTCCACACTCTTAACCTGTTTTGCAACCCAATTGATCTTAAAAGTACTGTTTAGGTTCAACGAGTGATGACCACAACCACCACATTCCTTTGGAGGACACGGAATACTGCCATCACTGTTTGCTTTCCAGCCAGAGAACTTATCCAAGAAATTCAGTTTCAATTTGGATATTTGTTCCATAGCAGTTTCTCTGTCTTGAGTTCCCTCACCAGTCTCATTTCCTACTTCAACACCAATAGAAGATGCTCTCCGAAGATTTTGACAGCAATGGAGGCACAGATCATATGAGCAATATGCACAATGCCGATGGTAATCAACAATTGTTATCCTACAGAAATTGCTGCAAAAAAGACAGTTATGAACTATATGCCCTTAGAACAGCGGGCATGAGAATACATCAGCCGTACTTTTGCACATCTAATTAGTGAACCTCACCAAAAGAACAGAAAATCAACTTATTAAACTAACCGCACTAAGTGGAACTATTTTAAAATAGCTAGTAAATGTTGTTAGGTACCAGCACATCTGCTCATCTGCAT